GCCGATGATTCTCCCCCAACCTATAAAAATGTCCTAAGCTTAGTCTTGAAGATATTAGTTTTCGTCTGTCACGAATTCTTCGTTCGGCACACTAAGTGACAAGCCCTGAAGAATATCACAGAAGGTTAGAGGAGCCCTAAACAATAAATCGCTCTTTCTTTCGGTTGACCGACGTAATAACCTGCTTGTGATGGTGGGAGATCACGAGAAACGTTTGTAAATCACTCACCTTTCGCCTCGTGATTAACAAACTTTCTTCGTATTCTCCCAGCATCACAAGAGGTTTATTACATCGGCCAACCAACAGAAAGTGTAGCCTATTGCTTTTAATTTATAAAATAAACTTAAAACAAAGCACATTATGTTTCAAGTTTCTATGGGTTTCCTGGTGAAACAAACTATAAGTTTTCGACCAATCAGGCTAAAGAATGATGTTGAACATCAAAAGTTTTATATTGCATACGCTGGCAATTATCCCTTTTCAACAATACGAACGCGAAAAGTCTTCATGTTAGGGCCTGTCACAAATGCAATAGATTGATTTAGTGTTTCGCGGCCTCGCGAAAACTGATTGTAAAGAAAGTTGATATTTTTGCATGCAAGGGTAGCGTTACAAAATTTGAGAATTTTCCAAGTTTCTTGATAGATTCTTACTCGCTCCCATATTTCAAAGAAAAATAAATAACCCAGTTCCACGGCCAGGGTTATGTTCATGACGTGAGTACAAGACTTTGATTGGCTACCTGTTATGTAACAGTTGGTTCCGGCGGGAACCTGTCGACTTTGCTGTGGTAAGCAAACGATGTTAATCCTGTCACTCAGCACTACCGGTTTGGCGAGTGTGAGCAGGGCGATATCGTTTTGTATATGTTTCATGGAGAATCCTTCGTGATAACAGACAGCAGCCACGTCTATCAGTTTTTCTGCACCTTCTTCTACGGTCTGGTCGTGTTCACCTAGGAAAGAAAAAAGAAAGAAAAGGAAAGCATTAAAAAGAGGAAAGAGGAAAGGGAGGAGGAAAGAAGGGAAGGGAAAGAGGGAAGAAAAAAAAGAGAAAAGAGAAAGAATATTAAAAACAAAAAAATCGTGTGAAGTGAATGAGAAATAAGAGTTCCTTGAAAGTTTTCCAGATGAATGGCGTAAGGACGATACGAATAAACCTAAAGACAAAGAAAACTACGCATGCACACAGATCTCTAAGGCGGAGCGTTTAATACAGTCCTGAATGAATAAGTTCTTCAACGGACTTCAAAGTCTCAGTTGCTTTTTCATCTGATCACTTTTGACTAAGAAAACACTATTCGTATTCCAATTACCGTGAAGAAAGAGTACTTCTCTCATAAATCCAACATATATTACATCCTTAGAAGAGCCTGAATGTTACGAATAAAAATACTTTTACTTAGTTGGTGTCTTCTAAAGGAAGCCCATCTCACAAGCAGCTGAACCCTTTCGGTTTTGTCAATGACGACTTCCATCACACAAATTGCGAAGAGTAAAAACAGCAAACATGAGATTTCCAAGCGAAAGACAAATACCCTATCACGCGGTATTTAAGGACGAAATTAAGCTTACCTACGACAACTTTGTAACGACTCGGAGCGGCATTTTGCACGACACAGTGTGCTGCGGTGACAACATGCGTCGGAGAAATGAGAGATCCTCCGCAAATGTGATACAGTTTTCCTCGCGCTTTAACTCTCAAAGATATCTGCCAAGGCCAGGAATTTGGCTCAGCATTAATTCCACCCACCACACGTGTAGAAATTGGTCGCTTGCCGCATCCTGCGGAGAAGAGGGTACAATAATTACGGTATATGACCTTAAGTAACCCACAGTGAGGTAATGGCATATAAACCATCAAGCCTGATGGTTTAGAACTTTGCTCCGGAAATCGATTCAGCTTCATGCTTCTTACTATATCTTACAATCATTTGCTTTTGGGCATTTAGCATCCCTTTCGAAAAAAGATTTTGGAAGACTGCGGTTGTAACACAGGTAAGCACCGATATTCCGACAAGGATATCTTACTGATCATCAGACTTTAAATTAAATGGCTAGGTTTTTATAAGTGGTGCGAGGAGAACTAAAAGATAACAAGTACTTATTGCTTATAAATCAATGAAAAAATGATCAAATTATGCTTAATTTATTCTGGAGTAAAGCTGAAGACGTTTGATTCTAACAAATAGTCTTTCAACAATTCTTAGGGGTAATTTAGCTTAGTCAACTCTTTTTTCTTCTGCCTTGACGAAGGGCTAACGCTCGAAACGTCAGCTCAAGAAACTCTTTACGGTGGCTAATTTGCATTATCAACTCAGTTCATAAAACCAAAGTATCCCATAAAACCCCACATACGCAGCGCTACGGTTTCTTCAGAGACTTACCCCTTAATTCCTAGGAATAGTTTGCTATATTTCTTGTAGTCGAGAAATGAGGACTGTGGAATGAATCTTAGAGAAATAGCGTTCGGGTTCGTAAGTCTCCAAAGTCTAGACGAAATGTCTCATGTTTGCTATTTGCCTACCACGTTAACCTTTCCTCTCTTGTACCAGGCTTTTTCAGTTGCGAGTTTTATTTCGCGCACAGTATTTCACACCGTAGGTTTAATTGTACAGAACGATAAACTCCAAAGATTCAAAAGAAATTCAACATAAAATGATACAGCATAGTTAATTAAACTGGTAGTGTTGAATGCTATTCAAAGAAATCATTGCTATTTCTGTACCTTGATTTCCATGGGCAAGAGTTAACTCTGAGAGCAAAAACACTACAGATAGCATTACCGAGCCCATCCTGATGTGAAGTCTTGAACGCTGGAAAACTCACTTTTGCCTCTAATGTACGTAGCTTAAGTATTGCCTTCGAGCAAGCTAACATCTGCTCTATGGTGCTGCTGTGACGTTTCGCAATAGTAGATGTCAAGTTTTCCGAGTGCGAGCAGATTTCCAAGCACACGTGGACCAGCTGCACCGCTGATGTAAACACTTCAACCGGACGATGCACTTCATGCTATTTATTTCGTTTAGTCTTTATTTTTGAAATTGAAAAACAAGAGACAAATACAATATATTTGTCTTATGTGTGCCAAGTTAGGAAGAAATGATTCCACTGTCAGAAAGAAGATACAAGGATTGCAGGTTTATTCCATGTCATGACTAATATTTTAACAGCCGTTTTTTTTTTTTTTCTGTTTTTACCCTATTCTTGATGATAAAACTTATTTTTTCACATATCTGAAAAGTGAAAAGAAGAAGGAAAATCTACCTTTCACTCTTACAAGAGTTTCTTACCGGGTCATTACCAAAATTATTGAAATCTAATTGTAGGTCACCTTCACCGTAACAACTAATTGCGTTAAGATCATCCAGTTGAGAATTTTCTGGCTGACGACCATGACTAGCACATTTTATTGAAAAGTCGACCTCTTCCAGTAAACTTTACATATCTGTTCTCACTAAAATTATTGCATTAGTTAATCGACCATTCCCCTTAACCAGAGGCGAATCTTTAAAGGATATCCACCACTTCATATTTCAAGCAAATTTTATCCTATTTTCAGATTAAATTTGAATCATTTCTAGGGAGAATGCCCCAGACCCCCACATCAGCTTCCATATAAGCAAGCCCCTCCCCATTACCCATAGAAAGTCCCTAAAAATTTACGATCAGCCATTGAGTAGCGTTTTATTTCACATTCTGTCTCATAATGCTATCCCAAAATTAACTCTGTTAACCGCAATATGTCTTTTTTTAGTTTGGCCCTTCCGCGCGATTTCGGGCTAGAGATAGACATTATGGTCTAGACCGTGTGCTCGCAAGGGAGCAATCTTTGCGTTTTGAATATCATGTTTTCTCTCAGGCTTTCAAATCTAGTAAATGGTATTTTGTTTAATTTAGTTCCCTTTTTTCAAATGTATTTTTTCCCCTTTTTAGTCAAACCAGATCGCACGAGTCGTATTAACAGATTATACAGATTCCGAGTTAAACATTTATCCATGCAGGCTACACACTCCTCCAGGAAGGAAATAAGATGAAGCAAATAGAGCAAAGAGGAATCAGTTGATATGATAGATAGTTTTTATGTGGATTTTTGAATTACAGTGCGAGAATTCGAGTTCTCAGTTCTACAATGAATCATAAGTTTCATGTCATGCGATCGTTGTTGCGTCAACTCTGTTAATATGTATTCCGCTGTTCTGTTTCTTTTGTGTCTGATTTTTTGAGACATATACGACGCTCAGCTGAAAATTGATTCACGCTTACGTTCATTTCAAATGTTTGAGGGTGAGGTAATATGACAAAGTTGGTTAGTACCTCACTGAGCTTATCACAAGACAGCGTGCTTTAACTGAGCCAGGTGCAATCTCAAAACAGGAGTGAATCAGCTCGCAAGGAAGATAAATGCAAAGTACCAGTCTCTTCAGTACTTCTTACAACGTAACCTTTACGAAGTACAAATCATGGTACCTGTGTATTCCTACTCAGAAGCCCTTCAATTCCTAAATTTAAGAACATTAGACGAGAGACGTAGTGAACTCTGTTAAAACTCTTGAAAAGATCTCAAAAGAAGGACATCGATTAAATATCTCCCAATGACGAGACATTGCATGCACCACTATCAAACGAGATGCGCTAACAAATATACATTAACTAAATGCAGGACTGAAAGATAGCGCCGTAGTTTTTTCCAAGTACTAGTTTAGCTTTCAGAAATCAATAGACTTTTAGACCCTATACCTACATATATATTTTAACTTCTATTTGTAATTTTAATACAAAATCTATTGTAATCCAGTCCCTTATTGATTAATAGTATGTGATTCTTATAGTTGTAAATTTGTAACCACATTGTACTTCAGATTAACAGCGATTATGGTGGAATTAAACTTCTTTTTTCATTATCATTATTACTATTATTATTTTTACAACGGTAAGGCACAAAACTTTAACTTTTTCGAAATGCACTAAACTATTTGTGACAACATCGGCGTGCGTTTTAAGTACGACATTTTTCTATGTTTCAATGTATCGATCAAGAGTAAGATTAGGAAGTAGGTAAGGTTCTGCTTAAACGCTTATATAGTTTCAAATAGAAGATCTCATTGGGGTTTAACCGTTAGCGGTAAAAAAAACTGAAAAATCTAACCGTCATCGTGAGAACTCAACCGTTAGACGTAAGGCGGCCCAAAAACTGAACCTGAAGGCGTAAAAAGCTACAAAGTTTAAAAGTTAGCTGTAAGCGTCACAACTCCATTAAGACCTACACAACAGTGACCCAGTTGCGTCCTATTGCAGCCAAACAGACCACACTAGTACAAGAAAAAGTCCCGTTCTTTCGCTTCTTTACTGTACGATACGAATTTGTCTTCATATGTAGCATATTTTACACTTTTTCCACCGCTTCCTCCTAACTCTTTTGATATTTCCCTCAGCATGGCCTTGGCATATTCTCCGATAAAATCGGACATTTCGCTGTCCTCGGTTGGGTTTTCTTCCAAGATTTCTCTTGCGTCTGTGAAGGAGTCGTTCAGTATGGCCACAAAGAAGTTCATCATGAAAACAGTCATACCGGAAAAATAAAAAAACATGAAGAACGGCCCCAGAGAACGGTTTATGGCTTCCAGCTCGTCATAATTAGTTCCTTTGCCAAGTATCATCTCGCAGACGTTCACCAATGACCTCGTGAATGTAGAAAACATGTACGCTGAACGTCCAAACAGCATGTTACCTATGACGGCAAATGCCAGAAGAGCCACAAGGAATACAAGTGAATACGATGTCATAGGACCTCGGGATACATTTATGCTTTTCGCCAACTGGGAGATATGCTTATTGAACTTCAAGATGCGAAGGAACTTCAGTGTGGACAGAAAGGTAACCATGGAAATAACCACATTTTCAACGTCTGTCCATAACGCAACATAATCAAAACTCATCCGGCCATAAGGATTTTCATGAACTTTCGCGACGAGTTTTCTGGTTTGTTCGGCTTTGATGAAGAATATCACCATAGTTGTAAGTGTGAGGCATATCAATGTCCACTCGTGAAAACTCCATATGTCCCTCAAGTAAGCCCAGCCCGACTGACGCATTTCGCGTATTTCTATGTATATAGAGTATACGAGTATTAAAACAATGATTACGTAACATGCAATAAAAACTGAGCCGGTGTGTGAACTGGTGCTGCGGGAAAACGAAATGGGGTCAATACGATAAGATATTTCCATGCCTCCCGTAGGTAACCACTCGAAAGAATATCGAGTAAAAGCGAACAGATTTGTCGCGGGCTCAAATGTAACGAACTCAAACAACACAATAACTGTCCGTCTGTTAATCCAGTTGTCAGCAATAAGGTTGGCAATGACCTTCCAGGCAGTCTCATTTTCATATCCTAACTCTGCTACAAGTCCGCCACCGTAATAAGTGCCGAATGCTGTGATAATAGGTAAAGTGCCTAAGGACGTTGCATCCTGGAATTTGACGGTGTGGTCACACGTGATTGGCACGATGGAAAATATTTTTTGGATGCTTTCATTGGTGTAACTGCTACCATTAATACTTTTGCTAATATCACTGTAACCGCTGTTGCTGCCAGTTCCGATATCGTCATAAAATGGCGAGACATCAATTAACTCCAGGCTTGAATGGCCCTCATCAAGGTTGCTGCCTTGGTACTCATGATAACATCGAGGAAACCAACGTTGAAACTCTGGATAAGCAGACCAAGTAAGACATGGCTCTAAAATATGAAAAAAAAATTTTACATCAGCTTGATAATCCTTAACAAACTAATACAAAAACCATATTTACTAAAACTCGTTTTGTATGAGTGGTACATATGGCACACTAGATGGTTAGTTGACAAAACTGGGCAGGAAAATGATGCCTTAATGTCTAGAACCCCAAATGTGTTGTTATTGTGGATCTTGGGCCATATCCTTTGACGTAGTATTTGCTTCGTTTTATTTGTTTTTACCATTTTTGACCTCAAAGAGTTCGAATGCTTGAGTACATGGCAAGGCAAATAATAGCGTATTCGTTTCAACTTAAATGTTAGCGTGTCTAAAGCAGAAGTGTTTTGAAAATGAGTAGAGATAACTCTGCTAAACCGCTTTATCAAAATCGTCCTATCATTAAGATTGATAACCGCTCTAGACAAGCAGGAGTTTATAGAATGGTTTAATTTTTTTGGTTTTAACCTTATTGCAATACCTGGTTTTATACGCAGCTGCCGTAGTCGGGGAAGGCCGACAATAAACGCCCTCTTATTTGAGAAGAAATCTTCCTCTTCAAATGGTTGTCCATTGTACCATGGGGCACTGTACAAACCAGGAAGCATAAATTTCTCGCACCACCACCAAAATGTGTGTACATTCTTGACCTACAGTAAGAGAATTTGCGCATGAGAGTTGGATACAGAAACAATATACCAAACAGAGATGGCTTCTGGATTTTCACTGCTTCATTATGGAAGCACAGAAGCCGGCCTGTAATCGACACGGACGGCCCTGTTTAGTTTGATAACATGTATGTCTGACCCATTCTTTGTTTCTATGCCATTTGGTATCACGCCATATGACCGGGCTGACAATTAAGTTCTGCTTTGAGATAACTAGGAGTATGTTATGACACCCTTGATAATACACATACAAAAATTTCAGCATGCTGATAAGCTTATCAGCATGATGAAATTTTTGTATGTGTGATGGCTTTAGTTTAATGGTTACTGCTATCGACTTATACCTAACAGAGAAAGATTGCAAACGCTCAGTTATTCTTTAGAGGAAATCCTGGCAACACAGAGAACAAGGCATGGGGAAGCAGCCGAACTGGAGAGCCATGACAAGATATAAAGAAAACTTCAAAGGAAAACAGAGTCATATATTTGCTTGTGTATTATTAACCAGTAATCGCGTGATTTTCTCGTACAATTTGGGATAAATCAGCACTCGTAAGCTTTTCCAAGACTACAAATTGCGCTTGCCTTACGGGTTCAAGCAATTTGGTTAGCCTTTGAAAATTTTACCAATGCTGATTTATCCCAAATTGCACTCGAAATCATGTGATTACCTATACAAATTGTGATGAAAATTTTCAGTATTCAGATTTCACAGACATGATTACAAAAATAATTTTATCAGTAAATAGCTACCAAGGAATAGAAATAGAGGCAGATGAAGTAAGAGCAATCTCGAAAGCTCTTTTAAAATTCCTTCCTCTACTTAAAACTGTGACAAAGAGCAACTGATGAGAAATGCATATTACTTCATAGCCTACCTTGTCAAGTTTTGCATTGAAGATGTCCTCCATGTTTTTGTTCAATCTAAATCTGTCGCTCCCTATACCTCCGTAACAAACTACCGCCAAAAGTAGGGCAAACACAAAATGTAATGCAAATTTAAACACAAATTTCCACATTTTAACTTCCTTGACCCTCTTTTGTCTGGCAATTGCCACTTTAAGTGGATCAGGAGGAGTGTAAAGCTCCGACAGCGTCTTAGGGCTCTGCAGCTCATCTTCAACTGGATTTGAGCCCTCAATTTCTGTGCTTGAAATCTCCGCGACCTCGCCATCCTGAACTTCTTCTCTGTCTTCCTCCGGGGGCTTGCGTAACAAAATAGACAGCAAAGAAGCAACAAGGATCACTTTAAGGGGCTGAATGAAAAAGATGTCCTGCACTAGGGAGACAACAACGGATGTGATCCATTTGTTGGACTTCTCAGTTCCCCACACCATGCTGTAAAACATTGTAAAGGCGGCACCTATCAGGGCTGTTAGTAACGACAGTGTATATGCTATGTAAATAAAACCATGAGGCAGTCTACATTTCTTTGTCTTCACCGATGATTCTGGTTTAATGTAACGAAAAATGGTTATGATCAATAGGTTTACAGGCAAGACTACCAAACTGCTTTGAATTCCAATCATCAACTCTATCCAGTTAAAGTTAATCGGACCAAACGTAATTTGGAGACCTTGTTCTTTTAAACCATATTCGTAGAACATTGCATTAGCAAACATGGAGGAAAATAGAAGCGATATACAACAAGTTAAGCGCTGCACTCGAGTGAAAGAACTGTTTGGTGGTTTGGTGTAAACTGAGAACCAGATGTGACCATCTCCTATGTCTTTTGAGGCTCTTGTGTAAAAGAGATTATGGAATCCTGACAACTGTTTTCGATTGGCCACAAAAAGTACTCTTTCAATTTGTCCATCATCCTTTTCAACAGCCAACCAGCGGTTGCACATAAAGAACCATTTCTGATCTGTTGCCACGTGACGAACTACAACCTGATGAAGATTCCATGAAGGACTTGCGCCTGAGTTGTCGTGCCACAATCTCACATAGTTTAGTCGGCCAAGAACACGAGGAAGTTTCACCACAAAGGAACTTACACTGCCTCGAGGAAATGGATTTTTACTACCATTCATGTCCAGTAATGGAAGTATCTCTGTCTCTCCATTTTCGGCATTGATCATCATAGAAACATTGGCAGTTGTACCAGATGAACCAAACACTCCTGTGTAAACAGCAATCTCGTAGACATGAGTGCCAGGAAATGTTGTCCGTACAGGAATGGACACGGACAGCTATAAAGCAAAAACAAAAAAGTTGTATGATGTACTGAATTATACACAATTGCTTCTTACTTATAATCTATTGGAGGAAACACACATACATGACATTACCATTAACAACATTTTGGTTTATTTTTAATCATACAAAAAAAGTACATTCCATGTTGCCGTAAGTCTGTACAGTAATAGGGATCACAGAAAAATCTGGTAAGACCATCAGGAACACACTCGACTGCGTTTCTTCTTACTGAACAGGCGCATGCCAACAAGGGATACATTTTTCAATTAGAACGTATGATCCGTATGATTTTACCGTTACAAATTATCTCACGGGGAATTAAATTATCACAATGTTGGTTTATAGCACCGAAATTCCACCCCCCCCCCCCCCCCCGACAAGGAAACAGCAACAACAACAATAACAACAAAACTAAAAACACTTAATATCAAAATCATAGGGGTAAAATCAGAAAAATATTTGATCCAGCTAGCCAGCTTTACAATGACTGAAACAGCAAGAAAATATTCACATGGCGCCATGATGTAGATACCTATCTAAGACCGGAAATGTAAGCCTGAGAAACTCTTTACGTGGCAAAATTACAATATCAGTTTAGTTGTTAAAACCAACTTATCTCACCTTCTTTTCATCTCTTTTGTCAGCTTTTCTTGCAAACACTGTTGTGATAACATACGTCAGGAAAAAAACACCAACGGCGACAATTACTCCGACATTTCCAGTCTCGCCGAGGCTGGCAAATCCCAGAAATGCCGAGTCAAATTCAATGGTGTTGGGCGGAGGAAAAAGCTCTCCTCCAAATGAGGTCAGGTGGTTGCAGAAACATTGCAAGACTTCGTCAGTCGAGTTTGGACCAGGCTGTGAAAAAGATAAAGAAAGAAGTGTAACTCATCAGTAAGTTTCTTAATTACTGCGTCTCATGATACATGAAATACGTAAAAGGCTTCTGAAGGAATATTCAGTAGTTAAATGTATGTGGGTAAATATGATTCGATTAAGAAGATGAAAAAGACAATTGGAAAAGATAAAGGAAAGAAAACAGACAAAATCAGCTACTGGATAAAGGATCTCACGGATGTTCTTACAATTCTGGCTGTGAGTAAAAGAGAACCAATTACTACTTATCCCAAATTTATCTCCTTCTGCGTCACTTATAAAAATTTGCTCTTGAGTCAAACAATCGTTAAGCTACAACGTTTGTGAAAAAAAATCCCCTGCGTAGTTTAAAACGGTGTTTGGTATGGGTCTATCAAAAACCTATACATTTCTTTACCTTGCACCCTCTTGTGCTCCATTCGTCTTTCAGTTCATCCCAAAAGAGGCACGTGTAAAACCTAACGTCAAATGTATACAAAGCGGAAACATCCATATCACGAACAGGTATTTCAATGAGCTCCATTTTTACCCCAACTTTCGGCGGAGGAGGCTTCTCGTCGACTTTTATGCAAAGTCTTTTAGCCTTGACATCTGATTCTGGGTCGTTGTCTTTTGGCAAGAGTGATCTTCGTTTGCGGCGACGTTTATCGTGCTCGTGATCATCGGGTTCGTGATCATCGTTTTTGTGACCATCGTGTTCGTGATCATCGCTGTTCTCTTCCATCCACTTCTGCCAACGCCTAAGGAGATACCTTACAACATCTTTGCATTTTACGCCATTGTACCACCAGCAAGTATTTAGCTCTAATGTTGCGTTATAGTGCTTACTCATCTGCTCGACGACGGATTCCTCAAGAAACTCTTTCACCTCTTTTTTTTTTGTCATATTCAATGACAAGTGCCACCACTTTTGAACCATATAATTATCAGAATTTTGAAAATTTGTGTGGTTGACAATGGGAGTTATATAAGGCCTAATACCAACGTACCACTTGCCCAGTTTTGC